AAGAACTAGGGTAGTGTCCTTGGAAACAGGAGTGGACACACACACACACACGCACGCACACACACACACACTTATAGAAATGCGTACTGATGTGAATGCGGTGCCACACGCCGGCCTAAGAACCCAAATCCTGAAAGGTCCAGGACAATCCTAAAGGGCCTGGGGGTCTTCAAAAGGAAGTGGGGCCAAACGCGCAAGTCGAAGTCGAAATGACAGGGTGACGATGGCCGCACACATCTGCAGATGCATTAGCACTTTACAAAAGGAAAAAGTGGCCACCAGCTGCGTCTTATAATGCGCCCAGGTGCACCAAGCAGGTACGTGTACACAAGCACTGCATGAGAGTCTTCGTTGGCTCTCGTCTCATGCAGGCTCCGAGAGCCCCCTGCTCATTGTAAAAGAAAACAATTCAGAAGAATCCCTGTGACTACAAGGGGCACACACACACACACACGCACGCACAATCACAAGCACAGGCACAGGCACACGCACAGGCACAGGCACATGCACACGCACACGCACAGACTATTGTATTGGCAGGTATGGCTTAGTATGCGATATTCGTTGCATCACATGGAGGTTCTAAGTTCTAAGTAAGGTGCCGTTGAGACCAGCTTGTCACTGCCCACAGTAGGCTCACAGCTCCAAAGACGGCAATGTGTGCCCCGAACTAACAGGACCAAACACATCTCTTTGATGACTCTTGCCAATGACTACTCCATAAATTGCAGTCCAAAAGCACAAGACCCCAAACAATGGTCCATCAACGCGACCCGACAGAGATTGTCCAAAGCTCTGCAAATTCCCGCATCTTGATTGTCCCAAACCCACCTGCCCTGAAACTCCCATTTGTGACTGATCCCGCAAATCACCATCCCACAAATACTCACTATGTTGCAATGCGTGAATGCAGCTGATGCTCATCCCAGATCCTCCTTTCTGATGCTGGCGAGCCAAACAGATGCTCATCAACTATCAACAGCATTCTAATCTTCAGTCACTTTGCAGGTCTTGTAAAACCCAACTGTGCATTGATCTTGAAGCTATTGCTTGTGAAGGGAGCGAGCATTGAAGGATTTGATTTTTGGGCAATTGGGAGCAGGGGACACCATGACAAATGGACACTGGTGGGTGGAAAGTTGCCCAGGGGGCAGCTGCAGCTGTGGCGGCAGTGGTTGCGTATTTGGCACGGCCCTCAAGATCGCATGGTGTGGATGCATTGTAATGCTCTTGTCAGCATTGAAATAGAAGGTTGAAATATCCAATATCATCATGTCGTGTTGTACCTATATACACTATATTCTCCACATTTTTTAAAACTGCGCCTGGGGCAAGAAGCCGAACAAATCCCACAACGGCGGAGAACGTCGGTGAATTCAAGACCGCCTAAGTTGAGGTGCTCCCTGCCATTATGCAGTCAACACCGGTGGCAGGGGCCCTGGATTTAAAAGGAAAGCTCTTGTGACAGCCTAGGAAACTGGTGGCCCTCACAAGGTCTCGTGAGTCTAAATCATATTGTGAGGAGCTCATCGGGCCCACGACTTCCTATTGATGCTGTTTTGTGACCCATCATATGCAGGCGTCGCTGACAAACTCAACTGCGCCTGCCCTGCCAGCTGCAGTTTGCTGTGCCGACTGTTTAGGGGACGAGGTTTTTCTTGTTTTTTACGGACGCGTTGGTTGGAGGGTCTTCTTTTTCACTTGCCAGGTGACCCGGACCAATGTCACCATCGTAGCAACCTCAGCAAGGATTGGTACAGGCCTTCAAATGCTTCATGGGTGAGGCTGTCATTCCTCACCCTTATGGCCCACTAGGATTGCTGCCAATCAGACCCGAACATTAAGTATTAGGTCAGTTTGTGTTATGAGGTCGAGACAAAGAAGACTCTTCCCGATGGTTCAACTTCCAAGATCAGTGAGCGCACTGTAAGGCCAGGTCCATTTGGGCTTTTTGTGATTATGACTTGCATCTCAATTTCAATTTGTTTTTTCTCACTCCGCTACATCTAGCATTCAGACTGCACTCTGTAGATCTGTTATGAAAGCCAGCCGATGGGCTATGCCAAAGTTATTTTCTGCGAGCGAAGTGAGCCTTTAGGGCCGGTGCGGAAAAGTGCATGTAAACCATGTTAGTGTGCTAGTGTCTTTACTTTGCGACGTTTTTTGTTGGTGATGCAGACGATGCAAGGTATATGTATGCATCATTTGCATCACCAACATGTTTTAACGAAACTATTTATGTGTATTGAATGTTTGGGTGATATTCTACTCAGACTTATATACTTGTTCACCTCTTTTGGCAAAAAAATAGCAAATTGTCCTTGTAGAGGTGTAGCAGGTAGTAGCTCCGGCTTTCGTTTCCCCCTTCTCAGAAGTCTTATAGTTGACACGTGGGAAACAAAGAACCACTAACCACACCTGACATGGAGATGGGATCGACCGCAGGCGAGAGCGGAATGTGCCTGGGAAAGCTCCAGTGGTGACGGTGCCCCATCATGTTGTCTCGCTTTGGCGACTCTTAAGAGCGATGGCCTCCAACCAAAGAGCCATGGCCTCCAACCTAACAGCGATGGCGGCCAACCTAATAGCGATGGCCTCCAACCTAACAGGCCTCCAACCTAACAGTAATGGCCTCCAACCCAATAGCAATGGCCTCCAACCTAATAGCAACGGCCTCCAACCTACTAGTAATGCCTCCAACCTAATAGCAACGGCCTCCAACCTAATAGTAATGGCCTCCAACCTAATAGCAATGGCCTCCAACCTGATAGTAATGACCTCCAACCTAATAGCAATGGCCTTTTCTAGTATCTTGTGATTGACTGAACTTGGAGTCCAGGCCATGAACAGTGGTTGAAACTGGCGATTCTTCATACTGCTGTGCGAGTGGTCAGGAGCGAACCACCCGCACGGAGAAGGCATGGTGAGACTGTTGTGGCAGCTTGGGGCTTGACCTCAAAGGTAAAGTTTGTTACAAGAGGTTGATTGAGACTCATTGACTTCAACTTGGCTGCTGCGCGAAGCAGATCAGCTGAACAATAATCAAAGATCTAAAGAAGACATGCAATAGTTTTCTCATCGCCGTAGAATGCAGTGACCATTCGTGGAAGTTTTCTTCCTCCAGGTTTTTCTAGCATGTGGTCAGCCCCTCGCAATCTTGCATTGATTGAGCACCACTGTTCAACTCCGGCGGACAACCTTCCACTGGTCCTGTGTTTACTCAGCGATGGCATGGCTGTCCCGGTTGCCCAAGCGCCACACTGTTGCAGGCACAGGGCACTGACTCACAACATGGTTCGGCGAATTTCAACAAAGAATAAACCATTATGTTTTGGCACAAACTTGCAGGCCAGGTGCTTGAGGGCTTTTCGTCCTTGGCTAGAGTCTGTAATGGGCACTTCATCCAGGCTACAAGTCAAGCGCATGTTTCGGGTTGGTCGATTGAAGGTCAGTCTGGTCAGCCTCATGAATCGTGAATTTTAAGATGGAATACAACTGAAGTTTGCTGCGAACAAGCAACCCCAGAGGCTTTGACCTGGACGATGAGCCCACTCCAACAGCCTGTGCCGCTGAGGGCAGCATTAGTGTAGTCAGAAGCACAAGGCTGGATGTAACGCGTTGTTTACAACCACCATTTGGAAGTGCAGGTTGATAGGGATTTGGGCAAAACAAATTCTTGGAGCTTTGAGATATCTTGCAGGCTTGAAGTAAAGGAGCTCAAAGCTGTAAATGGACTGTTCTGCTTAATGGGAAAGGCTATTTAGGCTATCTAGCTTTCCAAGCTAATACAATAAACGCACTCGGACAACTTGTGGAGATCCAGGAATGGTTTTCACTTTTGCAGATTCCCTGCTAGTGATGTCTCAAATGAACTCAAGGAAGCCAATGAAGAGAAAGCTTGGGAGGACCGCAATCACGATTCGAGGCTGGTGGTCCCAGCCTACAGTAGACCTTTTGACTTGTCACTTTCTGAGTCTTTCAGGTTCCCGAACTTCTGGACCTCATTAGCAACATATATTTTTGTTTGTTCAGTTTGGACAAGACAATCCAGGCCACGCCGGCGACTGCGAAACATGGTCGAGGCTGGTGACCGCTGGTGCACCTTCAATGGATCCGTGCACTTGCTTGTTTTGTCACACTTTATGTATATATATATATAACATCACAAACTCTGAATGACTTTGCGAAACCTTTCAAGTCTTTTTCATTTGAAGGGTTTGTTTTTTGAAAAACATATTTGGTTGGGCGAGTCTGCTCGTTCTTCTTACGGACTAGCGACCCAATCCAAGCCCATGTTTGCGCAATGCTCAACTGGATTCTTTGTGTGGACTTTTGGCAAATCTACACCTGAACATGCAATTTTTGGTGCTGACCGCTCCTATGATTTTGAGGTAGAATACAACAGGAGCCCTGGCAATCTTATTTGGGTTCTTGTTCGATGGGCCAGCCGGAGCACAGGAGAAGGAAAATGTTTGGCATGGAGACCATGGAGACCAGCCGGAGAGGCCCTTAGACCTGGCACATTGGACAGTTGTGATGTCGCACTCTGCCAGGTCTGGGCCATCCAAGCGCGTGAGAAGCGAAGCCCACGTCGCCGAGGCATCATTCCGCCTTTGAAGAAGCACCAGTTGTTGTGAGAAGGAAACAAACTGTACACCGTCGAAGGTATGATCCGAATTGGCTCTTACACAAAATCTACATGGTGTTTAGTCTGTTCTTCAAACCGACATGATGACCTTGTGAAGTGCTTTGTTTGGCGCCAGAAGTTGCAGGGGTGACGAAGAGATCCAGTCCTAGAGTCTAGAGTTTGTTCCTTGTTGCAGTACCCTCTTGTGACGACCTGTCGCCAGGAAAGCATCACGTTTGCCACGGAGAGGCTCAGTACAGAAATGCTGTCAAGAGGGAAAGATGGATTTGCGAAGCTGTTGTGGGTGCGTGGAGATTCAACTCTGCTTACCACAAGGAACAACGAACGGGTTTGGAGGTGTCTCCTTTGACACCATCACTCCAAACATAGCAACCTAAAGAAGGATCGTTTGGGAGGTTTGCAGAGAAACTGACCACGGTTGCGCAACTTTTTCTTGTGCCGGACAGTTTCAAGCAGGGCTTATGTTGCTTTGTGTTCCAAAGCGGCCTGAATTGAGCAATCTCTGAGTTCAGTGCAACCTGAAAGGTTCAGTCCTGTTTGAAAGGTTGACGATCGGACATGCTGAGAAGTTGATGGTGGTAACCATGGCCGACTGCTTGTACTTTGTACCTTGTCCGTTTTCAACACGTGTTGTGGAGAAGTGGTCGTTGATCCAGACCCTAAACCAGGCTATATGGACCCAAATCTGAAATGAGACAAGTTGAACTTGACGATGGAGTGGAATTATATTCTCTCGTCGACAGGTCGCTGCCATCAGAGCCGAGCAGATGCTTGAAAAGCTTCATCTCCGAGGATCAGCCGGGCCGGCAACTGGGGACCTTCGCAGAGTGGGATTGGATCTTGAGGCTTCACTTGTTTCAAGAAGACCAAGAAGTGGACATTGTTTGTTGGCCCATCGAAGGCAAATGTTTCTCACTCAGTCTTTTGAGTCGAAGACTCAAAGACAGACAAACCTTCCTCGCAGCTGCGCACAGACTGATCTTCGGTTTGAAGGACCATAATGACCTTTTCTGGGATGGTGACCACGCAACAGCACAGCTGCTTGGCCGCACTGCAGGGCGCCCATGACCTCTCTCGTGTTTGCAGTGTTGTGCTCTCTTCCCTCTTTGCCTTGGGCACCTGTTGGAAGAACTATTTGCTATGAACAGAAGTTTGGCATGTGGGTCTCCAACTAGCTGCTGTTGCTTTCCAGAGACTGCTCACAACAGCATTCATTTGTTTGCCAGGGCAATCCAGGGCTTAGGTGCCATTCCAAAGCCCAAGATCCAAGTCCTTAGATTGACTGGACCAGCTGGAAGAATACCCGGGCACACACTTGTTAACAAGGAATGACATTGTGCGAGTTCACTTGAAGTGTGCGATGGAACGCATACCAGTGCTTTTAATCGTGAGTTGGGGCAAGGCCATGAGCTTTTGAGCCACCCTGCAGTGAACGAAGCAATTGGCTCCAAAGGCCTTCCGCAGAACGCCCGCGGAGACGTTTAAGACGAGCTCCAGACGTGGCCGAGGCGCCCAGTGCCTGTCTGAGCCGGTCAAAGCTGTGAGCTTTAGTCGATGCCCCTTGAATTAGCACAGCACAAGTGGTTCGAAAGGGCCTGTAGAGCTGTGGTTTGATTCACGATGCCAGGAACCATGCAATGAAGCAGCGAGGCACCAGCTGATTTAGACCAGCATGCCAAATTGAACTCGACTCGACCCTAACATCAGCAAGGCAGAAATTCAGTTTTTGGAATATCAAATGGACTGTGACTATTTTCAAGTCTTGTGCGAACATGTGGCTGCTAATCAAGCTATCATTCCCAAACCGTGCTTGGAGAAGAAAGGTACTAGGCAGGGAGGGTTGCTTGTGGCCCAGGCCATCGTCGCCGGTACTTGTCCCTGAGGATCCGTTTCTTGCTGCTCGGCAGTTGTCCAATCTCCAGCACTTCCAAAACTTGAAGTTTCTATTTTCAGCAATCAACAAGAAGCTACTAGGGCTCCTGACATCGCTACTAGGAGCAAGGACGCTACTAGGGCTGCTGACCGTACTACTAGGAGCAAGTAGCTACTAGGAACAAGAAGCTATATTTGATGCGCGTCATCTCCTGTCTGACTGTTTCGGCATGGCGACGGGTCCAACGGGTCCAAAGGATGAAAACACTCACAGCGTCGACTAGATCCGTGAGATATTTGTTTCGAGTTTTGGCTCTTGACTGTTTTGGCTAGTTGAGGCCTGTCAACCAAGGATCTGTCCGAGCCTGCGCTTGTGCCAGCATCAGCGCGGTCCCGGAGGCTGACGCCAGCCCCGAGGGCCTCACGCACTGCACGGCCGGTGGAGGCCATTGAGGTCCCAGTTGCTCGGCGAGGAATGAAGTGCGTGGAGCTGACACAAGCTGTGGTTGGAGTGGGTTGTCGACATGCAGGGTTTGCTAAAGGGATTGAAAGAAGTTATTTCAATAATTTCAAAGCCAGTGTTTGGCCAAGTCGTGTTTGTTCAGATTGGTGGTGTTGGTCAGCCAAGGACAGCCAGCCATGTCCAGACGACTGGCCGGAAGTCATTGTGGAGGCAGGGGATTGCACCAATTATCATATCGGTTGGTGAACTGTTTTGTTTGTTGTGAGCCGTGAGGTTCGAACGAGAAGCAAGAAGCAACAATTCGGGGTTGCCATATTCTGCCCCAAGAGGTAGGGGCTCCTGGCCTTGCTACTAGGAGGAAGGACGCTACTAGTTACTAGGAGCTCCTGGTATCGCTACTAGGAACAAGGACGCGACTAGAGGTATTAGGTCGCTTCCAAAAGCCACGCTTCTGCCAGGCTGTCAGGCCTCGTAGGAGGCAATCCATGAGCTGCTCGGTGGTGCTTTTGAAACGGCTGGAGATGGAAGTCGAGTATGACTGAGTATGATAGTTCAATTGTGTTTGACAGATTCCGACAGCGAGCAGACACTGTGATGGCAACCAATTCTGGTCACCGGCCCGGCGAAATGCGTGATTCGTTTGCTTGTATCATTTGAGATCTATCTACCTTGCTGGCAAGCAATGGTTGAACTGTTGGTCTTTTTGTTGGAGGCGTGGAAGGAGCCCTGAGGTTGTTGAACAGGGGAGCAGTGGGTATCAATTTGAGACCAGTTACTGGAGTACAATACGCTTTTGTCTAGTAAAAAGTAACAAACACCAATGCCAATGCCGTGGTCACGTGAAGCAAAGGTGTTGGAAGTTGGAAGCGTTTCGTAGGGGCGGCGGCAGTATGAGAGCTTAGGCAGTGACCTGGAGATCGCCCGAATGTTGCAGCTTGAGGCAGCCCTTTCAATCGTTTGCTTAGTTGGGTATGGTGACACAGCATACCATACCGACAGTTTTTGGCCACATTATCATATCTCATATTTTCAAGAAGTAAGTTGCATGGCAAATCGCGGCAGCTGCTTTGGCAGGACCTGAGTAGCTTTTTACTAGTCGTGTCAGGAAGCTGCTGCATTATCTCAGTCGTTAGGCGGCACCCTGCCGGGCACCTGGAAGCCTCGAAGTATAGCTTTGTAGTGTTGGGAGAACCTGGGATCTGTAAGGCGATGCAGAAGTGAGATTTCTGGGGTGACTGGGTGGACCAGAAGCTGGGAAGTTCATGAAAAAGCCTGATGCAAACATATATATATATATAAATATATACGCACCACGAGCAATTCTGGGGACGGTGGCCGCAGGCCGCTGACTAGCCGCCTAGGCCTAGGCGGCTTCTCCATCCACCCGCGCGGCGCTCGCCGATGGACCAAGTGTTCTCTGCTGCGATGGCCCATGGCGGTGCATTGGCGGAGGCCGAGGGTCCTCAAGGAAACAAGAGTGGAGTTTTAGGAGAGGACTGTAATTAGATGAACAACATGTTCATGTGACTGCGGGTGGTCTCTTTCTTTCCAAATTTGGATGGGTTGCCTGTGATTTTGTGGAAATGGGAGATGGACTACCCAAGTCGATGCCAAGCAAAACCTTTTTTGGAGTCGAGGCGAGTCTGGTGGTAACTGCAAGCTGGAGAGTGCCTGAGTGGAACTGTGCGCCAATGGTTCCTGCCCAAACGACCATTTCAACTAACTCCTTGAACTCACCGGTGCTTTCTCTTACAACTGTGAAACTGGTTGTATGCAGCAAGATACAAAGTTGCACATTTATTCACACCTGGAGCCAGGCAGTGGCACAGGCCGCAGATCGACGGTTTCGTCCTTTGCTACAGGATCAGAGATGATCGGAGTACCGAGATTGGTTGTTTGATCCATCAAATAGAATCCACAAACTTGGTCAGTTCCTCCAACTTCCCTTCAGTCATTCAGTGTGTGCTTGGAATTGGCTGCCATCACCTTTGTGGAGGAGACCCTTGGCCGCCGCGAGCCCGCGGGAACTTTGCAGCAGCAGGTTCAGAGCCTGAGTGCAGCACCTCGGAGTGGGAACAGATGGAAGTAGGACTTTTACTGGGGAGAGCGAAGAACAAGGAGCCAAAACAATGACCTTTTTCTGCAACGACCTTTTTCCGGCTGGTTGTACTGGCTGCCATCTCCAGAGCAAGGGGTTCCGACGGCAGGCCAGTTGACAAGGAGTGAAGGTTTATGCACCGGAGGAATACGAGGAAGAGTCCTCATATAGTACCAACAATATGACAAGGTTTGAGGTTGTTGCTTCAAGCTCATCATCCTTCTCCCGTCCAAACAATTACTCATAGACCACTGTGTGGTGGTCAATGGTTCCACAAATTGAGAGGTCCAGGGTAGTCTACGCTCAGCCGTGCCTTGATCGCTAGAAGGGTATGACGGTATGACGGCATACGAGCAGCTGACATTCCGCCACTTAGCACCGCGACTTCACTGCGGACGACTATGATTTGTTGCTGCAGCTGGATGGCGAAACGTCCTCGCCGCAAGGGGAGGAGGTCAGCAACCCAGAGTACATCATTATTCATAGATCCAAGATGACATCATTGTGAAACAGAGGTTCCCATGGCAGCCATGTCCCAGGGCTGATGGAAGGAATTTTTAGCAAGGTGATGCGCAGACAAGTACCTGGGTTTCTCGGATCTTGCATAGAAACAATCCTGGGCCAAGATGATTTCCGGATGGTGGGCTGAGAAGATTCCGTTTGTCTCCCTTCGTCTCCCATCTCTCTTCTGGATGCTGGGCTGAGATGACTCCGCTTCTGAGTGCCGCCGGGCTGAGATGATTCTACTTCGTCTCCGTCTGTCTCTCATGGTTCTTCTCCGTTTGTCTCCGTTTATCTCCCGTGGCTCTTTTGGATGCTGGGGTGGCACGCTTCTGCTTTGTCTCCCATTGCCTAAATTGGGGGCAAAAACTTTCAAGATCCGCCGGCGAAACGAAACAATAAGCTGCCGCTGCTGTTTGGGGTCGACGCTGGTGTAATTCTGTTACAAATAATAGTTTTGGTCGTGATCGTTGAGCCTCATTCTTCCTACCAATGATGCCATGGCAGGAACTTTGCTACCTTCGCAGCATGGTCGATCTTCTACCACTCTCGGTAGTGCGAGCAGGTGCTGTGGCCCAGTGCATGGTTTGCCGCTTGGCCGTCAGCCGCCAGGTAGTTCATTTCATTGGAAACTCAGTTGGAAGAATGTCGGGGAGCTTGATTGATCGCCTCAGCAATTCGAAAGAAAACTCCAGGTGGTATAAGGCAGCGAGAAGCATTCTAGATTTTCCCTCGAAGATTTGACATGAGTATCGGTGTGGGCGTTTGTATGAACTTCCATGCTAACGTTTGGTGTAGTACCCAAACAAGCTGAGCGGGTAGGCTTCCCCTGGCTAAGGCTGAACAGGGACACTATGGGATACTAGCAATCTGCCCATTCGCGAGTCTGAGGGATGCATCGTGGCCACTGAACTTATACTCATAGGTGGGCAAAACATGCTCCAGGAGAATCCCACTAATTCTGGATGAACATGTTCATGCCTAGTGCATTTGGAAAAGGCTTGGATTTGCCACCTCTAAAATCTCATGTTTTGTGAGGCTTAGACTCTATGGAGGTGGGTCAGGAAGTTCGAACTCTGCCCTGCATGTGACTTGGCAGTTGGCCGTGCGGTGAGGTTTTCTTGCTCACCTTTTTTCCTGTAATCCATATCGATTTGCATAGGGGCTCCCTTTTTTTCTCACCCTCGAAAAATGTTTTTTTCACCCTCCCTTTTTTTCCCACCCTCGAAACCTTTTTTCTTTCACCCTCAAGATTCCTTTTTTTTTCCCACCCTTTGGAACCTTTTTTTTTCCACCCTCCCAAAACCTTTTATTTTCACCCTGCACCCTGTCATTTTCACCCTGTAGCATGTTTCTTTCACTCTTCACCCTGTTTTTTTCACCCTTCACCCTTTCTTTTTCACCCTCGACCCTTTCTTTTCAACCCTCCGCCGGTGAAGCAGGTATCCCATGGAACCTGCACAGAGAACGATGTCACCTCCGGTTTGTTTCACACCGCTTGTCCCTGCACCTGCCAAACCCTTTGTTTTCACCCCAATAGCTTCTTGTTACTAGCCCTTCGGAACCCTCCGGAAACTGCGTAGAGACTGTCCGGAACGACGGGAACCGCCGGAAACTGACCCGGACGCCTCCGGAAAGTGAGGCAGCGTGCTGTAGGTACTAGAAAGCCCGTGCGGGGGAGGCTTGGTTTGCATTGCAGGGGAGGCGCTGCGCCCTCCCCATTTACACAGCATCCGTCCATCCATGCATCCATCAACGGAGTGCCAACCAACCAACCAACCAAGCAACAACGCGGCCAAGCCAACAAACCCACCAAGCAACCAACAAGCCAAGCAACCAAACCACATAACTCCGTGTTTTCCTCAAGTGCTGTAGGTACTAGAAAGCCCGTGGGGGGGAGGCTTGGTTTGCATTGCAGGGGAGGCGCTGCGCCCTCCCCATTTACACAGCATCCGTCCATCCATGCATCCATCAACGGAGTTCCAACCAACCGACCAATCAACAACGCGGCCAAGCCAACAAACCCACCAAGCAACCAACAAACAAAGCAACCAAAACCACCCATCCCGTAGCGCTGCGCCCTCCCCCGCATCCCCTCCCGCCTTGACTTACACAGCATCCATCCATCCATCCGTCCGTCCGTCCGTCCGTCCGTCCATCCATCCATCCATCCATCCATCAACCAAGCACACAAACAGAAAAATTGCATATCCATCAAGCACTGTATCAAGCAAGCAATCACGGCAAGCAAACCAACGCACCAAAAAGTAACACTCTTCCCCCCTGTCCATGATCCATCCATCACTGTATGTGTTTTCTCCAAACCCAAGCAGACAATTCAAGCAGGCTGAACCAACCAACACAACAACCAAAGGAAGGAGAGTAAAAAAGGGTGGGTAGCCCACCAGCAGCAAACAAACCAAGCAACCAAACGTTTCCCCCAAATGCTGTCGATGCTTGCTTTGCATTTGTAGCCCACCAAGCAACCAACTAACCAAGCAACCAAAACGACGCAACCCTGTGTGATCCCACATGCTGTCGATACTTGGTTCGCATTGCGGGGGAGGCGCTGCGCCCTCCCCCGCACCCCCTCCAGCCTTTATTTACACTCTATCCATTTGCGCATCCATCCCGCCATTATCTACAGACCATCCATCCATCCACCCATCAAACAAGCAAGCAACCAACAAACCAAGCAACCCAAACCACGCAACCATGTTTTCCTCAAATGCTGTCGGTACTTGGTTTGCATTGCGGGGAAGGCGCTGCGCCCTCCCCCGCACCCCGTCCCGCCTTTATCTACACAGCATCCATCCATCCATCCATCCATCCATCAACCAAGCGCACAAACAGAAAAATTGCATATCCATCAAGCACTGCATCACGCAAGCAATCACAGCAAGCAAACCAAGCAACCAACACACCAAAAAGTTACATTTTTGTCCCTGTCCATGATCCATCCATCACTGTATGTCTATGTGTCTTCTCCAAACCCAAGCAACCAACAAGCCAAGCAGGCTGAACCAACCGACGCACCAACCGAAGGAAGGAGAGTTAAAAAGAAAGGGTGGGTAGCCCACCAGCAACAAACAAACCAAGCGACCAAACGTTTTCCCCAAATGCTGTCGATACTTGCTTTGCATTGGTAGCCCACCAAGCAACCAACAATCCAGCAACCAAAACCACACAACCCTGTGTTTTCGATACTTGGTTCGCATTGCAGGGAAGCCCGCTCCGCCCTCCCCCGCACCGCGTCCCGCCTCCCGCCTTTATTTACATAGCATCGACCCATCCATCCATCCATCCACCCACTGTATCACGCAAGCAATCAACAGCAAGCAAACCAAGCAACCAACCCGCCAAACAGTTATATTTTTCTCCCTGTCCACGATCCACCCATCACTGTATGTGTTTTCCCAAAATCCAAGCAACCAACAAGCCAAGCAGGCCGAACCAACCAACACACCAACCAAAGGAAGTGGGATAAAAAAGAAAGGGTAGCAACCAAACTGTGTTTTCCCCAAATGCTGTCGATACTTGCTTTGCATTGGTAGCCCACCGAGCAACCAACAAACCAATCAACTACCAAAACCACACAACCCTGTGTTTTCCCCAAAGGCTGTCGATTTTTGGTTTGCGTTACAACAAGGTAGCAAACCAACCAACACACCAAGCCAAGGAAGGAGGGTGAAAAAGAATGGGTCGAGGGTCAAAAAAGAAAGGGTAGAGGGTGAAAAAGAAGGTTCGAGGGTGAAAAAAAAGGTTCAGAGGGTGAAAAAGAAAGGTGGAGGTGGAAAAAAAGGGCGGGATGAAAAAAAACAGGGTTCAAGGGTGAAAAAAAGGGTTGCCCTTTGCGCAGTGTTACATACAGAGGAGGTCATAGAAGCAACGGTACTCAGCTACTTGTTGAGGATGGGTATCTCAAGTCCACTTTTCTATTATACAAGGATTTGGTAGAGGACTACCTTTGTAGATCTCTACAAAAGCATGGAATTTGATGAAAACACACATGTATCATGTGTATATATATATATTTGTTTTGTTTTTTTGATTGAAGAGCCATCCACATTGCTCTGGTGTAAAGTGTTTGAATGTTTGAATAGTGTAATTGCTCCAGGAAGGCGTGTGGCCTGAGGCACACCTTCCACCGCGGCTGCATCGACCGCTGGCTTTGTGAGCCTGGGCGCCGACCACGCTGCCCCATTGACCAGGCGGGGAACCACGTCCTTTTCTGAGTCTATTTTTATTTTGATTCCTTTCTCTACTCTTTTTTTTGAATTATAGGTTCTTACTGTTGTGTAAGCACAGCATATATGGGGAAGAACACAGAGTGTACGAGTCTGCTTGGTGGCATGTGCAACAGTCTTAAATGGTCTGATGTGCGGGCCATTTTAATGGCTACAAGCTTCTGAGATCATATTTCTCGAATGGTTGCTGCTCAGAGCTTTTCTTTAGGCTCCCTTTGTGGCAGCTTTTGTTGTGCCAGTGCTGGACGTGAACGCTTTGACGAATTCAGTAAAGTCCTTGGCTTCATTGCAGGGAGGATCCATGAACTTGCTTCCCACGGATGCAGAGTTGGCCGCTTGGTCGTCCTCTAACACTATCACATCCGCACGCGCAGCGGGCTGAGTACTGAAATCTGGCCCCGCGTCAAACACACCTCAGGAGCCACTTTTGATCCATGGCCCCATGGCGGCAGTGCCCTTCCCTTTCATTGGCAAAGACGGGCATCCAAAGCAGGTGGCCACCAAAGAAGCGGTCAAGCACTGCAACATACCGGGAGTGCCTGACCAGCTCGTGGTGTAGCAGTAGCGCAGTGAAAGGGTACATCGAAGACACCAGTCAGGTCTCACGAGTGGCAAGCGGACGAAGCCCTAAGTGCCACTCCACTCAAGATCGTTTGCGGAGTACGGGGGTGCGATCTCAGTGTGGATAAGATCACAGCTGGTGAACACTCTCAAGCTCCCGGACAAAATCCTGCCATGAAGTTTGGTTGGGCTTGGGTCAGCTTGTCGGACGCGCTTCACCACCATTCTGTTCAAATCTGGGAAGCCCAATGCAAGATGCAGAGTCGGACTGCCATGTTGCTGTAAAGGCTCAAAGGTATGTTGTGGGGCATGGCGTGAAGCGTGGGGTATGTGTAAGCATGGAACTTGCGAAAACACATAGTGTAACAGGCAGCCTGCCTGGTATAGTGGTGGCCTGTGCAACAGTCTTGAAAACAATTTTGGCTACAAACTTGTGACTTTTTCTCGAGCCAGCCAGACTATCCTGCTTTCAGGAGGGGTGTCGGAGGTAGCTATATAGAGGGGAAAAAGACTTGGCAGATAAGCTACTGTGTATTAAGGAGGTCTTGAGTTCTTCAAGAGCTATTTGCCATGCCAGCCCTCGTTGAAAAACCTGTTGCATGGTCGCAGACTTTTGATCTGTGGAAGAATAGATGTAATTGATATGCGCCTTACAAATGCTAAGATGACCGCCACTCAACCCCTTGCACATCACTTTGCGCTGTCAGAATATGTTTGCAATTTCGCCCCAAGGCTGAAGTTCAACTTGGCTAAATTGGGTGAAGCTTCTGACTGGCCGCTTGTCAATCTTGAGATGTGCAACGTACTGCCATGATGTTGAATGCGTCACCAGCCCACACACATATGAAGAGTTGCGATTTTGCAGTTGCTTTGTGAGCAAGGTGCAGGTGCATGAAGGTTGTAGGATTCATAGGTTAAGAGAAAACGTATGCAGACATATTTGCAGAGCGCAAAACTTGCCGCACTTGGTGGGTGCTACCCGACCAGTGCACCAGGGCTCTTTTCGGAGGCTTGGAACATGCTCGAAAGGATTGACCTTGCGTGAAGCCTGAGGTTGGAAGTGCTACTTCGCATGGACCGAAGAATTGAGTGCAAGAAAAGGGAGCAGCGAACCGCAGAGCTTGGCACGCAGTGCCCTTTTCGATGTCGGCATCGACTTACTGTATATGGTTTGTTTCGTCAAGAGTCCGGTCACTTTGCAAATGAGTTTCCTTGCTACATCGGAAGAGGCTGAGAGGTTTTGCTTCAATTTTTGTTGGCACAACAATGGTCCGGTTGCCAAAAAATCATATTTACACAGAGCAACCGCTTCCGGGTTTGAACTCACTGGGGGATGGTTCCCTGTGGCAGGTGATCAAAGACGAGCGGACACCAAAGGCCTTGCCAGCCTCATCATCCGCTGGTGCGTGAAGGCCACAAATCCGGCGAAAATGACAATTATGTATTGCAATTGTGCTGACATAATGGACTCTTGGGAAAGATCCGTGCGAATCAGTTGTGCAGAGCTTCGGCCTGAACATCCTGTTCACATGTTTGAATACCCAGAAGTTTCTGTGGCAGTGGACTTGGCAAGGATGGGAGTTTGCACCTTTTCGGGAGGATTTCATTTGAGAGTTTGCTCTTTGTCTCGACTCCAGCCGTGCTTCTTTGCCAGTCAGGTTCATTTCGCATTTTTTGCCGGCTTGAGACTTGAGATGCATAAGACGTAGGTCCTGGCTGGTGTTGTAGCCGGTGGATTTCATTGACTTCCTCAAGCGGCAGTCATGAAATGCCACGGACTTTCATACTGAATGGGACGAACTTGGGCACCTTTTTCCTCAGCGCGATAGCGCTGGCCCGATCCCAAACTGCTGGTACAAAAAGAAGTCTGTTCCAAATGCGTGCCGGAGGTGTTCAAGGGATGTTTCTTTATTTTTTTGATTTCTTGATAGTTTCGTCACACTTGCTGAGGGTGTACCTGTATGTACTTTCTCTATGTTTTCGTCATGTTAAAAACTTGTGAACTATCCAGGCTGGGACCTGCTCACAAACTTGAATTTGTGTTCCCTGGAAAGTCTTTGCCTTTTAAGCAGTCTCCATAATGTTGCCTTGAGCACGTGTAGTGGTCATAGAGTATTGGAGCCCAAGATTGGGCAGCAGAGCCAACGAGCCGACACGCAAATGGCTGACGTCAGCGCCAAATGGTGAGGGATTTGCCACTGAGACGCCGCTTCTGTTTGGCTAGAAGTAGAAATTGATGGAAGCTTCCTCAAGTGATAAGGCAGATTTCATTGATGAACCATCACCTTTCAGCCCATCGCACACGCAAAGCGGGAGGTTGAGTGCATAATCAAAACCTAGTAATCATTGTATTTCTGAGTTGACTGAAGAACAAGCATTCTCGAAAACAAAGTTCTGGCAGAGCCCACGAGCTTTGACCAAGCCTCCTAAGCGTGCGGGGGCCCAGGGTAGGTCCGTATGTCTCTTGAAGCTGTCTCCTGTTGGTGCTTCAAAGGCACCGCGTTCAACTGTGCGCTTCATTTTTGCAACGAGCTCTGTTGCAGGAATCCTGAATTTTCCGTTCACATTAATTTATGAAATTTTATACAAGTCTTTGAGCAGAGTTCATAGCTTTTCCCTCCAAGCCACTCATTTGACATTACTAGTGCCCGAAGCCGTGGGGTCATCACTGGATCACGAACGCCGAACATTCGACTCGGAACCGCAGCCACGGGGTCGTCCCAATCAGCCAACTCCCTGAGTCAACGTCAGGTTGCTTGGTCATGCCAGCGAATGAGGCCTGCAATGTGGTGTACCTCAGCTGCAGTGATAAGGCATACATGTCCCTGCTGCAAAAACTGGTCTCGGCTGGCTCCCGCTGGGTTGACTTTGCTTTGACTTCGACTCGTTTTTCATCAATTTTCCCGCCCTCGATAGTAGATGCTGTGTATCAGTTTGAGTTTTAGCCATTCAGTTGTGTTGTTGTGTTTGCGCGTATCGGCCAGGCACTTCAAAATGCCAGCCAGCGAGGCCAGGAGCAGATAAAAATTGATATGGACATTTTTCCTGCAAGCGTCACTGATGTATGTCACCAGCTTGACCTCCCAGCCCACTTTCCCCGCCCTGCTGCCTTTCGTTTTTCAGGGCGAGATCCCAGAAGGTTACTTCCAGGAAGGTGAAGCTGTGGTTTACCACAGCCGCACCCAGGGCGCGTGCCTCGTCGGCTGAACACAGAAGCGTATTTGTTTGTGTATTTACATGGTTTGTTGGTTTCGGTCACTTTTGAAAGAGGATTAAAGCATCCCCCAACTTTTTTGATACTGCTCAGAGCAGCAGCTGCAAGGATGAAGCACAGATTGGACATTGACTTTGGACTTTTGAAAGAACTGGGTGGCTTTGTTCGAGGGTGGTTTATCATACCGTGTGGTTTCAACAGTTGAGAGAAGGCTGGTTGTTTCTTAGCCTCTGGCAGATTCCGAGACGGCCGCTTGACATCAAACACAAAACAAACGGCGGTTGGCTGCGTCACAGTCTGAGTCTTCCACCTCGTGCGGAGGTACTTGCGAACCCGCATAACCAAAATCCACGCGGCGGCTGGTGTCGTGACTGCCATCGATCTCACTTGCAAGACCAGGCCGAGGGGAGGGATCCCCCCACCACACACACAGAGACACAGACACAGACACAGGACACACAGACACACAGACACAGATGACGGTAGTTGGAGGAAGCATAAAGATCATAAAGACCCTTTTCTTCACAGTTCACAAGCTGCACCTTGAATCAGTGCAGCCCCGTGCAGTTGCGATCTGAGCAAGATTGCGAAGATTCAGGAGAACAGTGACACGGAAGAAGGGCTGGGAGGGAGGAAGCACTGTAACTTTGTAGTCCAGTGAAAGAAGCTATGTACTTTGAGATATGCGCGTTGAGGTTGCGACTTTGAGCTGCCAACAGCTGCAACTCCAGAACCTTAACGCGTGTTCATGTGGCTTAAGGAACGTCAGACCGAATGTTTGGTGATACGCTGAACCGCTATTTGGACTCGGGAACAAATCCCAGAGGTGATTGGGAAGAGGACATGCGTCAAGCACCAAGCCTGGGAATCAGGGGATGGTATGCGTAATACCACACATGCCAGGGGAAATCAGAGAGACTTGCTGGTGTGTTGGTGCCTTAAACTTGATATCCCTTTGCCACCAAGGCTCCGACTGGCAGACTGACGCTTGGCCTAAAGAGCTCCCCGCGGGGGGAGCTTCCTGAGAAGCGTGAGCTATCCTGCATCCTACCTAGGAGCTAACTTAGCCCTTTCTGAATGAAGTAGTCGGGGGGCAGAGGGGGCTAAAATTCTCAGCTTCTCAGCGCCGGCGGCCTTATGGGCCCCTTTTGCCGCACGAGTGGCTTTTGTTGGGACACTGAAGCAACACCGAAACAACGCTGAAACAGTGTAGAGTGTAGACAACACTGAGTACATTGGAGAGTTGCCCTTAGCTTTCCAGGTCTACGCAATCACAAAGATGGAACATGCCTTTCCTTCCCTCTACTTGTTGTCAACTCCGTTGTGCAAGAACTCCCAGGCAACTCGTCCGTTCGAAGAACTTTTGTTCATCCGTTGGTGACGATGCCTCAGTTTCCAAGGATCTCCAGGTCCTCTCCGAGCTTCCATCTCCACTCCGCGAGAACTGTGAGATGGCAGTGGTGGGAAGAGGACAAGCCGCCGTGCAGAAGGCCCGCTGGGACATCACCACGTCGTCCATGAGTCATGATTTGCTGCGACCATTGTCAATGGTACTGCTGCTACGACTACTTTGAGGGGATTAATCCATTGCAGGATTGCAGTGGGTATCCTCAAAGATTGTGCGCCATACCGAATGCATAGAACAGAGGCAAAACAGACTGCTCAGTTCACAGACCTTTGTGGCGTGCCCGCGGACACAAAAATATACACTTGGAGCGCAGCATGTGAGCTCGTACTTCGAGAATCATTTTGGACCTTTTGTCCTTTCGTTTTCTCCTGAGGATACAGTGCGGAGCAAGATCAGGAGCAAAGGCCTCAAGGACAGGAGCTTGACACAGGACGCGTTGAGTCCAAACCTTAGATTCAAATGCTCAGGTTGCTCTTTTTGACCGCAACGATGAGGGCAGCGGTGCACAGATCCAGGTCATTTCTGTTGGTAAAGTTGCATTTTGCTGAACTTCTGTAGGTCACCTTGCTTTGAAGCGCAGCTTAAACTTGCTCAAGAGTGATCAAGCACACTCAGAGAGATTCCCACGTTGAGAGACATGGAGGATAGCACACAGGGTCACGTTTGTTTCACCTTCTTTGGCAGTGTACCAGATGCTGAGATGAGGTCCATCCGTCAAGTTCAATGTCGGGGACAAAGTGTGGCCTGATGAGAGGGGGGATGGGAGTATGGACTTCATACTACAGAGCACCCAAAGTGAGTATGAACTACTGGGTACATGAAGCAGTATGAGTGAGTGCTTGTGCCATTAGGGACTATAAATGCAGATAAGAGGGGTGGAACAGTGGTGCCGCAAAGCAGGAAGCCTTCACACTCCTAGGTCCTAGTCCTTCTAGATCTTCTGGATAACTGATCTCTTCATGCGGTGTTGAAGAAACACTAAAGTGGAAGGTGCCCAGAGTGCCGAGGTCAGGTTAAGCTGATTTATAGAGTTCGACACGTTTGAGATGATTCAATGGCAACTTTCTGATTTGGCAAGATTTGCAAGGTACTACGAAAGCAGGTCACATGGCCGAAAGGTCCTTGCCATAGTGGAGGGCATCACTTCGGAGGGCTTCTACGACCTGGATGTGAAGAAATTTGCTGATCCCAGAAACCTTTCGCCATATATAGCCACCTAGCTGAAGTTACATTTGCCAGATGCACGAATCATATCCATCTATTTTCGTTGTTGACGTCGTTGACGTTGTTTGTTCAGTACTTGCAGCAACACAGAACACGAGAGTACATTTCTCAACTCCTTCACTCGCCATGCTGTGTGACCTTTCTCTGGTGGAACATGTGTTTCTTTGTTTTCCTAACACTTTTCTGAGAACTATGGTCCATGGGTCAGTGACGGACCTACTCTATTTTTGCGTCAAAAGCGATGAAGAGATGGCTGAGCACGGCCCTGTTGAAGCAATGCTTTGATATGGGGCTCCCAAACCCACAACACTTTCGTTCTTCACTGCAGATTCTTACAAGCTCGTGCTTGGCAAAGCTGTTTCAAACAGCTTTCAGAGACAATCTTGTTGCTTACTTTGTTGTGTTTGGTTGGTTGGGTGTGGGACTGATGTCAGTTCCGTTCTTGCCTTCTTTCAATTCTGGGTCGCGCAAGCTTGTCAGGCTGAGACAGTGGAGGACAGGGTTGTGATGGTAAAACGGAACGAAGCGTCTATACAGGGAAATGATTTGGGTAGGAGGGATAGGAGTGTTGGTCTCACTGGGCTTTGAGACAGATTCTTTACGTAGAAGATAGGTTCGTGTCAAAATGGTTAGAATCTAGAATGATATCAATTCCGCCTTATTGAATCGAAAGGTATGGGTGAATCTTTTGTTCCAAGATTCGGCTGTGACCTTAGGTCTTTGGTCCCACTATTGCAACCAAAAGTTACTGCCACTTTCTCCACTTCTGAAGTCTTGTTGCTGTTCTACAAGTCTTCATTTTGATTCTTATCAACCGGTTTCTGAACATTCAGGATTACGCAGCAGTCCGCCACCCTGTTCAGCTACCTCTTCAGCCTGTGCGTGCTGATGGCATCTCGTTCGTTCAAATCTGAAGCAGAACTGAGGGACCAGCAAGAACTGATGCCGAGCAACCTTGCGTGAACAACTACTAGCGCCGTGACCAAAAATTCACTGTTGGTTGGTTATGTTTGCAGCGCCTGGTCGGACAGGCACACCACGCCTGGAGAGCGCACTTACACCACTGGGCTTTGGCGCGGCGGAGTTTGTGGCCAGCCGCCACACCGGAGAGGTGCTAACAAAAGAGCACTCAATCGCAAACCGCTACTAGGAACAAGTGCATCGCTACTAGTAACAAGGGCCTTACTAGTAGTAACAAGAAGCTATTAGAAACAAGAAATAGAATTAGTATTAGAAGCTAATTAATAGCTAGTAGCTTACGTGGTTGTCAAGAACAGTTGCCCTTCACCTCAATTTCTTGCCATAGTAGTTCTTAAGAGACCAGTGCTGCGCCGTAGCTTTCAGGGAACCTGACCACATTCCTTCATCCAGTGCTAAGTTCTGTCATTGAACGAGCGCTGATTTTGAGCCTCAGATCCTTTTTTTCCCTATCATTTACAAGACCAAGAAGAGCATGAAAAGCAACCACTTTGAGAAGGAACATGAACAACTTCCCTTTTGTGTGGACTGCCCCTCTGCGCTTTTGTGCAGGGAGAAGTCGTGAGCTGCAAGGTCTCGCCAGCAGTGCCGGTGGGCCGTGTGCTCCGGAGAGTGCTGGCAGGGGCGCACCCATAGGGAACGAGAGTGAGAGGATGGAGAGATCTGCCAGCTTTACATAAGAAGACAAATGGAAATGAACAAGAAAGATAAGGGCTTCTTTAAAGGGGCCTTAATCACCTTCCAGTTTTATATATTGTTTCTTTTGTTAGTCTTTGGGTAGGTTTTAGAGCCATAGGGCTTTTTCAGAGTTGAAATGACTAAGACTAAGAGGCACCACTTGGCTAAGAAGCAAAGCCAAATTCGTGCATGTCGCACACATTTTTTGAAGGAAACTGATCAGCATCACCGGTCAGTACAGTAGCCAGCTTCGAAAGCTTTGTTTTTGTGTCCACTTGGGAAACTGGGTGAAATGGGTGTTCAAGTTCGCCAGAAACTCACGAGCTTCTATTAGTTGCTCACTAGCTTTCAGACTGGGCAGTTCAATTCAATATGATCAAACACCAGTTCTAAGTGTATTTCTGCGATGGATCACAGCATGAAACTAGCCCAAACTGGAAGCCACGTGCATGCGAACCCTGAGGCGTTTAAGTATTTTTAAGCCTGTCGGCCTTGCAGCAAGGTATTGTCTGAGCTTCCCTCACCGCTGCATGTTGAGAATGCAGACTTCGGTGATGGAATCTGCGACGTAGCTTGGCGAGCAGGCATGGATTATTCGGACGGCCATGATTTTTGTGGTAGACTCTAGGCCCTACAAAGGCTAAACCCACGTTGAGGGAGACTTGCCAAGGAGGTTTTGCATGGATTCAGGCATGCAACTGGCGATTTTAAAGACAATTTTCCAACTCTCAATTCAGGGATCACCACACCTTTCACAGTGTTGAAGGGCACCAGAAACGGAGCAGCAACACAAGCGTTTGCATTTGCGGTGCAGCCAATAGGATGCTCATGTTACTCACGTTTGGAAACTTCTTCAACATCCTGAGGATGGCAGACTGGTCAGAAGCAAAGTCCTTCACAAGACCAAGAGCCAGCTGGAAGCGCGGAGTCGGAAGTCCCAAGAGTTTCAGACGGGGCAGACCAAGTAACATCGAGTATATACATGTGTAATTGTTTTTGTGTCCTCTTGTACGAATTACGAGCCTGAGTGGAAACACTGTTGAGCGGTCAGTGTGGAGCTAAAATTTGAGACATAGTAGTCGAAATTCATGAACCAGGATTAACCCCTTATTTGTCATGCGGTTCATGTACAGACATGTTTAGCTAGGTCAGTTCAAACACCTTTTCAGGTTTCTCACTGACTTCGCTTTTGGCTCAAGAAAACTGGCGCGCTGCTGGTTTTCAGCTTCGACACGCCGTCGTTCCGTCGTCGTGCCGGTGCATTTCGCTTTCGCGCAATTCGTGTTGTGTGTTCTTAGGCTGCCGTAGGTGCTCCTTCGTACGCACCCCACACCCGGTACACAACGGGGACCCGACCTTCCGGGGCTCGCCGCCGTGTACCTGGTTTCCTCAGGGTTCTCCGCACTATAGGTTACCTCTCATCCCATTTGCCCCTTAGGCAACTGTGGTGGTTGTTCCCTGTGGATATCCCTGAGCCCTTGTCACTTTCATTGGTTATCAGCCGTAGGTCTAACCAACCTACGAGCTCTAATAGTCCGCCTCTTTTAGACCCAATACCTCCTAGGTCACCCCGCCTCGATTCAGCGCAAGCCGCTGCCTCCGGCGCGGACTCGCTAGGACGAAGTAGTGACCCTGATCCTAACCTAAGATCCGAGCCAGCAGCCGCCATGCAAGCCGCTGCTCCAAGCGCGGATTCGCTAGGCGTAGGCAGGGGTGAGGCAGAGGTTGAGGTGACGTCCTTGTCAGAACTTGGTTCACAAGCCGTTGATGCTTTGAACTTGTTCATCGACAACCAAGACCCACCAGCCGCTGCCGCAGGCGCGGGTTCGAATAGCTCGAGATGGGCAGGAGCAGCCTCCAGTGCAGGCTCTGGTCCGACCATCTTTCCTCCTTCCGTGATGGAACACGAGGATAGAGACCTTGAGCTTGAAGAGCCCTTCGCTGGTCCGACAGACCAAGAGGTTATGGACGATCCCGAGGCCATCCCCTTCGATAGCCCCACAACCGAAGGCCATCCGGCCCCTGTGGGCGAGCATTCGTTTGGTGATACCCAAATGCATCCCTCCCTGACAAAGACCGTCCGGTCCCAGGGGAGACGACTTCGGCTAGTGCGGACGCCCCTAATCTTGCAGACCAAGGCAATTCTGCGGAGGAGGAGCCTGAAGTGTTCGTGCCACCCGAAACCCTAATTGCCCAGCCTCACCAACACCTAATAGTCCTCCCCTCTCCACTAATAACCTGTTCGATCCTTTAGGTGAAGACGAGGACTCCTCAGCGGAGGAGGCGGTGAGTGAGGAGATTGCCCAACGCATTCAAGAGCAGTACGATTTGGAGGCTGCCCTTGAGGAGTCCGCTCAAGCAGCAGGCGTTGAGCCTGAGCCAGCGGACTTGGGTGTCGGTGGAGCCGCTGCCGCTGGCGCGGGAAGGGGTGAGAGAGACCGAACCCGAAGGAGGGGGTGTCGTGCCGGAACCAAGCACGTTGCAGGCCGCGAGAACCTCTCCTACGGAACAACGTGTGAATACATCAGTGCTCAACTTGGTGATTCCACGTATGCGCGGTTCGGCCGCTGCTTCAATCTCCCTCACATTCCCCCGCAAGTCGCACGCAGGCAGTATCCGGAGTGGTTCGGGTACGTCCTTCGCCATTCCGACAGGTGGGCTTTCGACGCAGAAGGCGAGCTTTTGCCGGTAGATACCATCACTCGATGGGCAACTATCTTACCCGAGCTCTGGCAATTCTTGTATTCGATCGACCCCACACTACTGCAGGGCATGCCACAACCTAAGTATAGATTGCCAAGAGGTTACTGGAGTTCGGATCATCCTTTCGTGCCTCTTCGCCATGTGCGTTCGGCCGAAACTAAGGTTGCTCCGCCCAGGACAGTGTTCAACTCCGATTCGAAAGCCTCGTCTTCGGCCGCGCCTCCACGCGTCGATCGGTCTCGATCCGCTGCCCCTAAGGCCACCCCTGGGTCAGCATCGACAGCCAGTGCTTCGACAGCAGGAGCACCCTGGCGCCCTACGCTTGAGCGTGGGCATACCCCGATTGTGTTGACGCCTCGTTCGCAGGTTGAGGCCAAGGCCTCAAAAGCCAAGGCGGGTAAGTCAACGTCAAAAGGGATTGAGTCCGAGCCAAAGTCTGTCCCGGCAGAGCCGAAGACTACGCAAGCCGCAGCCTCTGGCGCGGGTACCTCGCACACGTCTGCCAGCAAGCCGGTCCCACCTAGTCCTCCCCCAAAAGTCCCGCCGGTCATGCCACCGCAGGTCAAAGGGTCGACCCAAGTCAAGGCCGGAGCTACGTTCGTTGAGGTTCCCAGTTCCCAAGCCATCATTGCCCCTTCGACTTCCACCCCCACCAAAGGGTCCGGCACCAAGTCCGCCGACTGAAGCCAGGTCTCAAGACGGTCCTTCGTACACCGTCCCATTCGAGCCAGCACCATCCGTACCATACGGTCAGTCGGAACCTCTTGATGCCCCGGGACCAAATGAATATAGCTACCGCGGTCCCCTCAAGCCGATGATACCTAAGTGGACTCGTAGCAACCCTGAACAAATCCCGGTACTCAGGCCCGTCAAAGCGGTGCCTCCTGTTGGTCGCGACGCCGATCAACTCGATATGCGCGTCATGCGTGAGCAAGACAGTACCCTCGAACCACAAAGCAGCGACCTCGCACATGCCAAGGCCCACGCGTCTAATGCGCTGGGCGGAGCAGCTCTTCGTGGTGATCTCGAGCAAGCGTTGTCGCAGGCAAAGCCAGAGGTCACGGTCGAGGAGGAGGAGGACGTTGTGGTTGAGGAGGAGGAGGAAGAAGGAGAGCAAGGGGCTGCCTCCGCCGAGGCGCCCGAATCAGATCAAGACCAACCGACCACGAGTGCAAAAGCCGCTGCCTCCGGCGCGGAACCAGTTCGCCCGGTCGTCATGACCCCGGGTCCCGGTGCATTCATTCATCGACATTTGACATCTTTTGGCTTGCGTAGGACCCAATGGGACTGTGAGCATGAGCCGTCAATGCCAATTGAAGAAGCTCGAGACCGCGTGTACGACCTCGACTGGTCTAGCACTCCTCAAGCCGAAGGGGACGACATATAGCTCAAGCCTGAGATCCCTGGGATCATCTTGGCAAGATGCGGTTAGTCTATAGTCTAGCGAATATTGGAGGTATTGGATTAGCCTTAATAACTTCTTATCGTGTACCCTGGTCCAGGCTTGGACCTTAGTTGCTAAGTCGTTAATAGGCTTAAGGATGTCGGGTCTAGAAAGGCGGGCCAACCGAAGGGCCTTCATTAGTATTGAACATGCTTTTGGGGCGAGTTCTCCAGGAGAGTCCTCGTCCTCCTTTGGCCATGTTCCGTCAGGGATGAAGGGTGTTTGTGCAGGTTTGATTTTATCGACTTTAGCTACGCTTTTGTAAAGGTCTATGGTCTGTTGGGCATAGTCCTTCACGTCAAAAATCAATGCATCTGGAGCCGCGCCTAAAGCAGCGTTCTCCTCACCCTGTACTTTGTCGAAACTGGCGTAAACATGGTTTCTTCCGAGGATTCTATAAATGGTTTCGGGAGGCTCTACGTTCACTTCTGACATTAGTTGTTTCCAGAAAGGAGCATGGTGCTCGGATGGTCCGGATAATGTCAAATCGTCTACGTACGTAGATAACATGAGACCTGTCCCTTTGAAATAAAAATTTCCGGGGTACTCAGGAATCTCCTCACCGTCCATTTTCTTTAAAATCCCCTTTAAGTGGTTTTCCCACATTCCGCCTGCATCGGGATGTCCATATAGTGCCCTTACTAGAAGTACAACTGGACGGGTGAATTTTCCTTTCCACCACTCCGGGCGGAGTTCAGGTGGAAGTTCGATCCACGTTTTGTACTTACTTTTGAGAAAGGCTTGAACATAAGCCTTCACGGCGTCTGCCGCCGTGCAGGCATGTCCCGGCAAGGAGCCGTAGGCTAGACAGGCGTTTAAGCCCTGTACGGACGTTGGGTTCGCGCCCAACTCCTCGTAGACGGCGGCGACGCCATTCTTGTCGCGTGCACAGTCGCCGCGATATACTATTCGCCCCTTCATTTTGTGAAGGTGTTCTGCCAGTTCCCAAAATTTAATTGAGGCGATAGTCATTAGACGACCAAAGTGTACGGACACTTTGCTAGCCTTTGCTTCAGCCTTAACTGCATCATATTCTTGAACCGAATCAAGATCCCAGGTACCGATGTCGGTGAGGGATGTTGCTTCTTCCTTAACTTTCTCAACGGCTTTAGGGTTTGCCAACATCTCTGCTCTGGAGAGCAACTTAGTTACCATGGCATGAACTCTACCGTGATGTTCAGGATCTTCAGGGATATCGAATGCAGTTCGAACGAGAGTTTCCAAATCCATCAGACTGCAAAGACCGCCTTTTACCCTCCACAAATGGTAGGCAAAATAGCCAGAGCTTTGTACCCACAAAAGGCTAATCTAGCTCCAGCCCCAGCCATGCCATGTGTGGTCCCAGCCGCTGCCTCCCAGGCGCGGGAAGAGGAGCATAGGGTGAAAGAGCAATCCTTGAAACACATCTCCGCACTTGCAGGAGCCGATACATTTGCATTGGCCGTCGAAACCGACGAAGTTTCAAACCAGATGGCAGAATGCCTGATACCCAACCGCGTGATCATGTTCATGTGGGGAGTGCGTGCACTTGTGTTGCGAAAAAGCATCTACGATGCGCTGGCTTGTCGTCATGAGTCTCCAGGTCTTCTTAATGGGTCTATCCTTAGTGGATCTAACTCCTACTGCGCAACCATCAAACTCGACTTGTTGGAATTCTGGACGCGAGTCAAAGAACGACTGGACGTCATGGCGGTTCCAACTTTCGCAGCCCTTTGGCCATTCAAAGGTCACAGTACCCCCCCTGCTAAGGACGATCCCTGCGCTTCTTTCGAATTCTGCG